AAATATCAAATGGCAGTCCTCTGTCCCACCCTGCCCATCTCAGCTTCTCATTCCCCACAGAAATTCACTTTCAATTCTTGTGGCTCTTTCTTCTGGTATTTCTCTCCATTTTTTTTAAATGACATGGTTTTACTACTATTTCCTGGTTTTCAGATTTGGCTATTATTTAAGGACTTCTTATCATGGAAGATGAAGACTTAGCTGTTTTACACTCCACCCCCTCCTCCAGCAAATATCTGTCTATAAAGTAAATATCTCCCTAATCCCCCAGCTTCAGAGCCAGAATCCGGCCACGCATCATGATGACAGCTGAAGCTCGGATGACACCTGACCACAGATTCTAGATCCAGTGCTCTAGAAGTACGTACACACTGCAGCTGCATTCTCCATGTCTCTCTATGAAGATCCCAATAATATTTAAAAAGAAATTAGAATACTGCAGCAGAAAATAAACCACCAGGTTCTCATAGATTAAACCCCACAAAACAGGAATTTGGAAAACTGTTCATTAAATGACCCTAAAACCTGAAGCCGCTCCAGTTCCAAACAGCCCACCTTCTCCACGCCCACCCCCATGGCCGGTCACCCCCATTCCTTAGAGGCTGCAGACCCTCTCACCTCAAAGCCCTGAACTGTGGGGATCTAGAAAGAAGTCAGCCCGAAGCTGGGAACCAAACCAGCTCAGCGTATCCACAGAGCCAAACAGTTTGTAGCTCAAGTTTATCAAAAGCACACCAGAAGGAACAGACTTCAGGGTCTTTGGACTCTGGCCCCCTCAAGTCTCCCTAGTTCTGAAGTGAGAGAAATGGAAAGCTGCTAGCCAGAGGGAGGTGCCATCAAGAGCGTACTAATGGCAATGCCCAATACTTCCCCCGTTACAGAATGCTAACCTTTTTGTTTTTTTGCTGCTTTATATTCTTTGCATTATTCAGCTTGTAAATTTGTACCACAGGGCTCAGACACTGGAATTCCCTCATACAACGGTATTTAATGGCGAGTACACCCTTGCTACCTGCGTACTCATGCTCAACTGGATTAATCATTATACCCGAAGTCCACCATGGAGTGGGAGTAGTTGCAAGGGCGAAAGCTGAAGGGTGGCAAGAAGGAGCTGGTGCAGTCAAAAGCTTAGAGTAGCGGCACTGCTGGGACTGAGTGCCACTGAGCAGAAAATGAAGCTAGGAAAATTGGACCTGAACCTGCTGAGAATCATCCTAGATCACCCACCTTTAAATGGTCCCACAGGTAACAATAATGTGAGTGAATACAATATGAAAGCCTATGATTGTTACACATGATTCTCTAGGGTTCAGATCACACATTTACTGAAAACCAGGAAATAGTAGTATAACCGTGTCATTTAAAACATGGAGCCTAATACCGGAAGGAAGAGCCGCAAGGATTTAAAGTGTATTTATTGAGCATCTATAGAGCACACTTCATAGGGTAGTAGAGACTACCATGATGAATAACCTGCCCATTATCTAACTGGGTGAGGATTCATTCACTCATCCCACAAATAAAATAGGAAAAGAAAGGGGCAGGCTTTTAAGTGGCAAGAGAGAAAGAACAGAGTGCTGTGGGATTTTAAAGGAGAGAGAAGAATCATCATTGGGTGAGGGAGAAATATTAGGAAACATGAATGAATAAACAGCTCAAAACTCAGAAAATCAGAGCAGCCGCCAGTCCGGAGTGTCTGGCGGTGGCTTTGTAGGAAGGATGTGGACACGCACCAGGCTGGAGGCAGGGAAATGGGAATGAGAGGCCTGGGAAGACTGGAGGCCACCGTGTTGGTAACTGGCCACAGAGTGGATGGGCAGGCTGTGTGTGGTGTGGTGGGTGGGTAAGCAGTGTGCTATCTTTACTCTGAGGGATTGCAAAATGGTTTTACCATCCTGGGAAGTCAGGAGGACAAGCTGATTTGAGGATAACACTGAGAGTTGGGAGAGCGTGCAATGGATACTTGTGAACACCCAAGTCCAAACAACCACTCCATGGGGCATTGCAGGTCCTGCCTGCCTCCAGCCTCCGTCCCCAGTGATAGAGCTTATGCTCCTGTGCATCACTGTGTTTCCCAACTGTCCTAAGCGGTCTTCTCCCAGCCCAAGAAACCCCCGAAACACAAGGAAATAGAGATCTGTGGATGCAGTGGCAGAAACAGAAAAGATATACCCCTGACTCCTCAAGTCAGGGCTCTGATGGTTTTCCCATACATACACTGTTCTCTTAGGAAATTACCATCATTCTGGTCCATTACAAGTTGTAAGAGGATCTTATCATTATTTATACTCTGTTGATATAAATGAGTTCCAGGTTCTAAACAACTGTCTTATCAATAAAAGTTTTAGAACACAACAAAACCTGGGACACTGTAGACCATACAGTAGTTAAAGCAGCTATTCGCTTCCTTCGCTCTTAGGTTTCAGATGCCTCATTTACTGTCTTAGGACAGAAAGCAAGGACAGGGAGCTCCTGAATGAACAGGAGCCCAGTGACCCTTCCAAGCTAAGTGCGACGTGTTTGCAATAGTTAATGGCTTGATCATAGGGCTTTTCTGGGGAAGTGAGGTGCTGTTAATAATAGGCCCTTGTTTGTAAACAAATGGAATGAAGGAGATTGGACATATGTACTGGGGCCTACATGGAATCCAGTTAATTAAGTGATGCTCCTTGTCCAGTGAGTTTCTGAGGGCCTGGAAGCAGCGGCCTGTTTCTGAACTTACGAGTTCTATGCATTCGGCCTCATCCTGGAACAGCATGTTGATCCCCTGCAGATTAGAGGACAAAACCAGGAGGGATTCTGGCTTCCATCATCCCCTTCCTCTCTCCCTCTCCCGATTCTATAAATCACTTCTGGCAGGTAGCTGGGAAGCAGCTGCGAATGACAGTTTTGCTCTGGAGCACAGGAAGCCACCTTTTAACCCGCCTGCTGTTGTTTGTCTCTCAAAACGTGACAAAGGAACAGATGCAAGCAACATGCCAACTGTTGAGAGGATCTGCTCAGAGCACTATAGGAAGCCTGCTCAGAGCTGCATCACACCAGCCGTTCCATGGAGGGATGACTGAGTTCATTTCCTGAAACTCCTATGCACGCTCTGCCCAGGTCAGGTTGGGATCCTTCATGCCCAGACACCTCACCGGGCACTAGAAACGCCTTCCTCAACCCTGCTCAAGAGCCACCGAGGCCCAGTCCAGCCTTACCTCCTTGTGATGTCTTTTCTAGCCTACCTCCCCTCTGGCCAACATTAGTTTACAGTTTGTGCCAGTCTCCAATGCCTTCACAGGCCAACCTCATCTCTGTCCAAACCATCCGGTAATCTCCTTGAGGGCCGGAGCCACGGCTTACACATCTTTGTAAACTCAGAGTAGTGTTTTGCAAGCCATTGGCTGCAAACCATTAGTGGATTGGCAGACAAGTTTAATGCATTGTAACCAACTTTTAGGAGCCCTGGTGCGCAGTGGTTAAGCGCTCGGCTGCTAACTGGAAGGTTGGCGGTTTGAACCCACCAGCTGCTCCGTGGGAGAAAGATGTGGCAAAGATTACTGACTTGGAAACCCTATGGGGCAGTTCTACTCTGCCCTGTAGGGTCGGTATGAGTTGGAATCGACCTGATAGCAATGGGCTTGGTTTTTGGTTTAACTGACATTTTAAAATATGAAATAAAAACCAGCTTACAAAAGTTATTTTCAGGCACAACTGGGAAAATATGAACTGGATATTAGAAGAATTATGAAATTCCTACTAATTTTCTTAGGTATGGTAATGGTGTTCTGGTTGTGTAGGAGAATGCCTTATTTTTAGGAGATGCATGTGGAAGTATTTAGAGGTGACTTATTTTCAGTGGAGTCCCTGGGTTGTGCGAATGGCTGCTAACCG